AGGCCACCATAGTGGGGCCTGGCTGGTTTTTGCTCAGCCCTTAACTACGGTGCTCTGAGGCAGGCCCCTCTCTTCGTTGTCTTATTAGCCTTTCCAGTTGGCCTCTTCCAAATCCACCCATCTGTTGCCCATTATGACACTGAGGTTCTGGAGGGCTTTTTCCTTGATGGTTTGCAAGTGTTCCTGTGTCTGCCGGAGCGGCCTCTTCTCCAACAACCACGCCTTTGTAGCTGTTGTATCCGTCCTGGACAAAGGAACCCACGTGTTCACCGACGCTCCCAGTCTCCATCTGGGGCTGGGGTTTGGTGATGGGCATAAAGACAGTGAAAGTGAAAGGACTCTTCCTCCCGTCCCCTCTGCCAGCCTTACCGAGGATTGTGGTCCAGGAAGGCCAGTTAACAAGGAAAAAACCGTTCCTCTTCCCTGGGGCTGCTAACCTGCTGTGTCAATTTCATGAGTTAATAAATGATTGGAGAAGGCTTAATTGCATCAGAAGAAACTGAGATCAGCCAGTGCTCGGGCTCCACTCAATTAACCTGTGCTCCTGAGGGGCCCCAGCTGGAAGCAGGGGGCAGTCGATAGTTAATTACATGTGCTGGTGCCAGCTGTGCCTGGCATTTCCTGCCAGCATTGCCCGGTGGAGAGGTGAGGGGACCCTGCTTCCGTGAAGCTGAGGTCACGGAGGACAGGGGGCCCCCTCAGAGAGACCAGAGACCATTTCCCAACACGTTCCATCAGCCTGGCTTTCCATAGGGCGGGTGCCACCACGCCCCCCATCAGGCTGGCTTTCCATAGGGCGGGTACCACCACGCCCCCCCATCAGGCTGGCTTTCCATAGGGCAGGTACCACCAGGGGGCCCCCTCAGAGAGACCAGAGACCATTTCCCAACACGTTCCATCAGCCTGGCTTTCCATAGGGCGGGTGCCACCACGCCCCCCATCAGGCTGGCTTTCCATAGGGCGGGTGCCACCACGCCCCCCATCAGGCTGGCTTTCCATAGGGCGGGTGTCACCACGCCCCCCATCAGGCTGGCTTTCTATAGGGCAGGTGCCACCACGCCCCCCATCAGCCTGGCTTTCCATAGGGCAGGTGCCACCACGCCCCCCCATCAGGCTGGCTTTCCATGCCCTGCTTAGCCTGGACTAGAAGGTCTCCTGTTGAGACCTCTGACTGGCTCCCTTCCGCCCAGGTGCCTTTAGTTCTCAGACTTCCTTCCTCCAGACTTCTGGCCTGCTTCCTCCAAGGAGAACCAGAGCCAGCCTTGTCATGGGCACAGATATGCCACAGGCCCTGCAAGGTCGCCCCCCCCATCCCCTGCTGCCTCCAGACTGAAGTCCTCCCAAAGACCTTCATTCTTGCCTCATTTCCCAAAAGGGCCAGATGGTCAGGTATGTGGGAGTCCAGCACCTTAACTACTATGCCACCTGCTGACGCCTCCAGGCCGGATGGTAAGACTCAATCCAGCCAAGGTCGGAGTCCCGGGCCCCACCCCTGCAGCCCCCACTTCCGTGGGTCTGGAATCTCCATTTTATAACAGGTCACTCTGGTGGTTATTACCCTCAAGCCAGCTTGAGAAATTCCACTTTAGGGGACACTTGAGCTTCTGGTGGAGTAAGTGCAGCTCAGCAGTGCGGTTCATGCCCTGGACCTGGTGCTTGAAAATCATGCAGGTGCGTGTGCGTGCATGCCTGAAATCTTGAAAGGAGAGTGGAGGAGAAGGGATAGCAACATGGCCGTCCCCCCAGGAAGAGGGGTACTTTTCACTTTCCTTCTCTCTCTCTGTTTCTAGTGAGTGCACGTGCCCTATAGCAATTTTTAAAATATTTTTTAACTTCTTTTCTTTTCTTTCTTCCTTTTTTCTTTCTTTCTTTTTCTTTCTCTCTTTACTTTAATTGGGCCAGAGAGGGACAAAGTGAGAGAGAGAGAGGACGTGAGAAAGCAAGCCTCCAGGTCTGGGATTCAAACTGGTCGGCCATGTGGAAGTCCAGAGCCCTTATCATCACACCACCTGCCAGCCCCAGCAATTTAAAATAATACTAATAATAAATAATAAAATGAAAGGCAATGCTGTGTTGAAAGAAAAAGAAAAGGAAGGAAGGAAGAAGAAAGATAGATATTGGGCCAGATCTCCTGGAGTTCTTAGACGTCTGTGGATTCCTCTGTACGTGACTGGTAGGTAAAATAAGAATATCGCGTGGTTTGTGCTCAAAAGCAACTTTTTTTTTTTTTTTCCCTTCAAGTGTCCTTTTACTTTTTTTTTTCCAGGAGAGATTTTGCTATCTGGTGCTTGTACTTGCCAGAGAGACAGAAAGCAAGAAATCACACCCCAGGGGAGGTGGCCATGTTGCAATCCCTTCTCCTCCAGTCTCCTCTCAGGATTTTGGGCATACATGCATACTTGTCTGGTGTGAGGTTTTGTTTTTGTTTTTGAGAGGTTAATGCTATTGAGTGGGTGAGCTCGCCAGAAAGACAGAGAGAGACAGAGAGACAGAAAGCGAGAAATCGCCCTCGAGAGGGGATGGCCACACCGTAATCCCTTCCTCTCCATTCTCCTCTCGGGATCTTGGGCACACATGCACACATGCCCAGCGTGAGTTTAAGCCACTGTATCTGGGACTCGAACTGCAGTTGACTACATGGGAGTCCAGTGACATAGCCATTATGCCAACTGCTTGTCCCAGCCTGGTGTGAGTTTTAAGCCACTGGGTCCAGGACTTGAACTACATGGGAGTCCAGCAATGTAACCATTATGCCATCTAATGACCCCCAAGTGTCCCTTTACTTTAAAAATCTATTCAGTGAGAGGGACCAGCAGTTAGCGTAATGGCTATGTCGCTGGACTCCCACGTAGTCGACCGCGGTTCGAGTCCCGGACCCGGTGGCTTAAACTCACGCCGGGCGCATGTGCTTGCGTGCCCAAGATCCCGAGAGGAGAATGGAGGAGAAGGGATTGCGGCGTGGCCATCCCCCCTGGGGGGTGATTTCCTGCTTTCTATCTCTCTGTCTCTCTCTGTCTGTCTGGCGAGCGCACGCGCCCTATAGCAAAAACCTCTCCAAAAAAAAAAAAATCTATTCAGTGAGAGAAACCTTCCCTTGTCACTAGAAAAAGACTTGGGCCAGACCCATGGCTCTTTCATTCGCCTTGTCATAGGTGACCATCTCACAGTTCTCTGAGGTATAGACGTGGTCTTCACGCAGATCCCGAGTGCCAGGGTGAGACAGCGTCAGCCCAGCCTGACAGCGGGACTTTCCTCCTGCCTTCCGGTTTGGACCTGCTTCAGACTGGCAGTGGCTGGGGAGGTGGGCTGGGCGCCTCTGCATCTGCTCGACCCTGCTCCTCGGTCTCTCCCACCACTCCGGACTGCTGGCATTCACACAGCTGGGAGAAGGTAACCCTGGCTCTTGATTCTGTGAAACTTCCCTTAACCCTGCTTCCCTCTTCCAGGGGTCCCTTGCAGCCCCTTGTTTAGCCCTTGGGCATCCGGAGGCCACCTCCAGCCAGTACCACCAGTCTCCCCCTTTCGGAGACCTGGTACTGCTGGACAGGACTCAAGAATCCCACCTAGAAAATAAGGGTATTGGCAGCCAGCATCTGGCCAATGGTGTGGTCAATGTCCTGAACCGGGCACTTGAAAAACATGCCGGGAGCTGGGACCAGCAGTTGGCGTAATGGCTATGTCGCTGGACGCCCATGTGGTCAACCACAGTTCCAGTCCTGGACCCAGGGGCTTAAACTCACGCCGGGCGCGTGTGCGTGCATGCCCAAGATCCCGAGAGGAGAATGGAGGAGAAGGGATTGCGGCGTGGCCATCCCCCCTGGGGCTGATTTCTCACTTTCTGTCTCTTTGTCTCTCTCTGTCTTTCTGGCAAGTGCACACCCCCTATAGCAAAAACTTCTCCAAAAAAGAAAAAAGAAAAACATGCTGGGAGCATGTGTGTGCACGCCTAAATTCTGGAGAAGAGAGTGGAGGAGAAGGCATTGAGGATGGCCATCCCCGCAGGGAGTGCTTTCTCACTGTCCTCCTCTCTCTGTCTGTTTCTGGTAGCCGTGTAGCACCCCATGGTGGGTGCAGGGGGAATTTCATAGCTCGGCAACAGCTTTCTCCAAAGACATCCTCATCGAATCTTCACCAAATTATGGCCCCACCTGCATTTTACAAGTGGGTGGGGCTGGCCCTGTGGCCCAGTGGTTGAGGGAGGCAGATCTCACATGGCCTACTGCAGTTCAAGTCCCAGCTTCAGAAACATGCCAGGCACATGTGCAAGCATGGCCAAAATCCCAACAGGGTGGGGGAGACATGGGGAAGGGGTTTGGAGTGACCTCACTCCACTGGGGGGTGTTTCTCCCTCTCTCCCTGTCCCTTTGGTGAGCACATGCACCCTCCAGCAATTAAAAAAGAAAAAAAAAGTTGGGGACCAGCAGGTTGCATAGTGGGTTAGGCATTAAACTCCCACATGTTTGACCGCGGTTTGAGTCCCAGATCTGGCAGCTTGAAACTCACGCCAAGCACATGTGCGTGCCCAAGAGAAGAATGAAGGAGAAGGGATTGCAGCGTGGCCATCCCCCCGGGGGATAATTTCTCACTTTCTGTCTCTCTCTTTTCTGTGACAAGTGCACACACCCTATAGCAAAAATATCTCGGAAAAAAAAGTGGGTGAGAAGGCTCATCAGTCTCCAGACAGATGTCTCACCTTCTAGCTGTCCAGTATGCACACGGCAGGGGACAAGGGGCCATCACAAGCTCCCTCTAGTGTCCCAGGTTCTATCTTTGGCATCTCCGTGGGGTGGGAAAGGAGAGCATCTTTGGGAGCAGCAGACCTGAGCACACAGCACGTCCATGCAGGCTGGACATGGCCTTAGGCCTAGACGGGCTGCCCTGGGGCCCTGGGACCCAAGAAGCAAACCCCTTTGTTAACTTCCACTCTAGACTCACGGAGCAAGCCTGTCTGTCCTCCAGCCTTGTCCAGCTGTCACCCATCTTTCCTTCTTCTCTGGCAGGACTGATGCCCTTGGCCATGACGCACCCCCTACTGCTGTCTGCCCAGGCGCAGCCTGCGTGACGAGCCACCCCTGCTCCAGCTGTTTCATGTAAGTGGAAGGCACATGCCCTCCCCCCCAGATGGGCAGGGAGGGAGCTTCCAAAGTCCTGGTCACCAAGGACAAGTCCTTGGGATTCTCCCCTTTTTTTTTTTTTTTTTTTTTTTTACTTTATTTAACTTTATTTATTTAGTTAGTTATTTAGTTTTTAATTTGACCAGAGAGGGACAGGCTGAGAGAGAGGGAAAGTGGAAAGCAAGCCGCCAGGACTCGAACTGCAGTCGGCCATATAGAAGTCCAGCAGCCTTAACCACCATGCCACCTGCTGGCCCCTGCTGGTCCTTGGGATTCTAAGTTAACAACAGGTTTGCTTGTCCTCTCTGGCTGTCCCCAGCCCTTAGTTGGCCACCACTGAGTCTTTCTGTCAAATCTGCTAGCACCTGGACAAGAACATGGGGACCACTTTCTCATGTCCCAGGGAAGCTGCTCAACAGGCAGCTGCTATGACAGAAAGTCCCAGCCCTGGCCCTTAGGTCTGGACTTGGACACGTGGTAGCCTAGGTGTTTCATGGTCTGGCTTCCCCTCCTGCAGTAGGAAGTTTTCATAAGGTTCAGGGTGGTGTTTTAATATCTTTCAATGCATGGCAAACTACCACAAATTTAGCAGCTTAAAACAACACACTGTTTATCTTGGAGTTTTCGTGGGTCAGCAATCCAGGTGTGGCCTTCTAGGTCCACTGCTTCAGGGCCCATCATGAAGCCATATTCAAGGTGTCAACTGGGGTTGCGGTTTCATCTGAAAGCTCGAGTGGAGAAGGACCTGCTTCCTCTCTCCCTGCCTAGCTCATTCAGTTCCTTTTGCACCCCTGGACGGAGGACCTCCTTCTCTAGCTGGCAAGTGGCCAGAGGCCACCCTGAGTTCCTGGACACACGGGCCTCCCCAACACGCCAACTTGCTGCGTCCAGACCAGCAAGGGAGAGTTAACTAGTGAGAGAGATGTTAGAATCACCTGTACTCTGTCAGCAGAAGCCACATTCTGTCGCCCTTGCCCTGTTCTGTGGATTAGAAGCAACTCACAGGTCACACCCACGCTCGGGGTGGGGGGGGCAACTACACAGAGCTGGGCTGCCGAGAGGCAGGGGTCACATGGGGCCTTCTCAGAGCCTGCCTGCCAGGGAGAGAGTGTCCTGGGGGCTCTTAGTAACCTGGAGCACAATGCTCAGGTGCAGGCGGTTACTGTCCTCCATGCATCTCTTCGTTGCAAAAAGAAAACGAGCCCCCCTGAAATGAGAGCCCCCAATGCAGGCATTTACTTTCACTGCCGGGGGGTGCACGCACTTGCTGAGTGGAGAGGGGAGACTTGAGAGAGGAAGAAAGCACCCCCAAGGGGGCATGATCATCATAATCCCTCTCCCTCTCTCCACCCCATCGGGATTTGGGCACCCACACACACACATGCCCAAGGGGTTTTTCAAACTGCCAGGACCAGGATTTGAACCATGGTCAGCCATGTGGGATCTGGCTCCCTAGCCACTGTGCTGTGGGGCTAGCCCTGAATAGAGGAATTTAAATGCCAAATTGTACCACCATTACCAGGCCCTCGGGGAAACTGGTGAGACCTGGCTAGCTCACCTCATGCCTTTTCCATGTGCCTTCCTGACTTATGATCTTAAGGCCACAGAATGTCTAGAATGATTATGATTATCCCCATAAGTAACGATGTTCACAAAGAGCTCTCGTGCCCATCTCACTGTTTCTCACAGTCACATTTGTTATGTTTGTTTACACAAGTGCGAAGGAAGGTCAGTTCCCTTCTTCCTTGGGGTGGCTGCTCAGTGGCACAGCTGGGCCTGGCACCTGGGCCTTCAGACCCCTGGCTGTGCCTGCACGCCTCACTCCACCCTTCCAGGCCACTACTGTGGCACAGCCCCTGTGGTCCTACAGAGGGGAGGCCAGGCCCAGAGGGCAGGCAGGGAGGAGGCAGGGCACTGTTCTTGCATGGCTTCTTCATCCTCCTCTGTCTCCTAAGGTGGGCAGGGCACATCTCTGGGAGCTAGGCCAAGCTAGGGTGGGTCAGGGCTGCCCCCCAACTTCAAGCCATTCCAGAGCTTCCTGTCTCCTTGGCAGCCCTCAGTGCCGAGCAGGCAGGGAGGTGGGGGTGGGTGAAGTGATGGCGTAGTGAGAGTGCGTAGATACCCCCGAGGCTGGGACGCATCTGCTCCTACCAGAGGCCCAGGGGGCCCCCAACCATGGCCTGCCGTGCATCTGGCCAAGTCAAAACTGGTCTCAAGGCTGCAGCTGGGATTGAGGGTGAGATGGCCTTTGCTGCCCCCTGATGGCCTCTTAGAGTCATACCGGCCAGACACATGACTGCCCAACAGGGGAATGATTACAGACTAGTATTGGGCGCAGTGGTGCCAGGACTGTGCAGGGCGCTGCAGGAGGGTGGGAAACAGCAGACACGACCCTGACCTCAGAGGACTTAGAATTTAGTAGAGACGTCGAGATGTTACCACATGAAAGTGGACTAGCAGCCCACTGAGACAGGATGTGAAGAGCAAGCACCGCTGGGCAATGACAGAGTGGGAGTCCGGAAATGGGAGAGCCCCAGGGACCCGCAGTCAGGGCAGCTCCTCCCAGCCTTGGAGGATGGGCAGCATTTCAATAGACAGAGACCGACTGACAGCCCCTCCGGAACTCCCACTGCCCCCAGAGAGGCAGCCCCATTCCCAGCTGACTCCCAGCCTCTCCAGCTTCAAGTCTCCCAGGGGCCGGAGCCCTTGCGCCCCTCTGTGTTCATCATACTCCTGGGCCGTGTTACATGTCGCACCCCCATCACAAGGTTTGCTGCCTGGGGCCAGCAGTTGGCATAATGGCTATGTCGCTGGACTCCCATGTGGTCGAACATGGTTCAAGTCCCAGACCCAGTGGCTTAAACTCATGCTGAGTGTGTGTGCATGTGTGTCCAAGATCCTGAGAGGAGAATGGAGGAGAAAGGATTGCAGTGTGGCCATCCTCCATGGGGGGTGATTTCTTGCTTTCTGTCTTTCTAGTGAGTGCATGAGCCCTATACCAAAAACCTCTCCAGAAAAAGAAGAGCCAGGCTGCCTGAAGGTGGGGCTGAGGATTCCTGTGGGAGCACATGGGGGCATGGAGGGAACCCTAAGTGGGCAGCAAGCATTTGGGGGAGTCAGGAGGCTAAGACTTTGAAGGTTCGTCTAAAAATGTGTGCCCAGTTAACTGCGGCCTGCGGTCAGTATGGTGCTGGAAGGTGCTAGGGCTCAGGGGGCACAGGGCATGACGGGAGCTCAGCTGCCCCAGGTAGGAAAGGCACTGAGAGACAAAACCAGAGAGGGAGTGAGAAACCGTGGCACCGGGGCAGGCTCGAGGTGCAGACTCCAAACCAGCACAGGGAACAGAGGAAGCCAGAGAAGGACTAGAGACTCTGAAGTCTGGGCAATGAGATCATCCGTGGCCTTGCCAAACTGTCCAGGCCAAGGCTCACCCAAGACTGGTTACAGCGCAGGCTCTGGGTCAGCAGGTGCTGTGGTGGTTAAGGCACCGGACTCCCATGTGGCCGACTGCAGTTCAGTTCCTGGACCTGGCAGCTTGACAGTCCCTCTGTGTGTGTCTGTGTGCATGTCCAAATCCTCCTCTCCACCAGGGATTTCTTTCTTTTTTTTTCTTTTTTTGGAGAGGTTTTTGCTATAGGGTGCGTGCACTCGCCAGACAAACAGAGAGAGACAGAGAGACAGAGAGACAGAAAGTAAGAAATCACCCCCCAGGGGGGATGGCCACGCCGCAATCCCTTCTCCATTCTTCTCTCAGGATCTTGGGCACGCACACATGCCTGGCGTGAGTTTAAGCCACCGGGTCCAGGACACGAACCGCGGTCAAATACATGGGAGTCCAGCGACATAGCCATTATGCTAACTGCTGGTCCCATTCGGGGAGTGATTTCTTACTTTCCCTCTCTCTGTCTCTCAGGTGAGCACAAACCTAACAAATAAGTAAAGCATAGGCTCTGCCTCACCCAGTCTGTCCATGCAGCTGGTCCCCCAGGCACTCTGTAGGCAGGGAGCTCACAGTGCCTTCGTGGGACCGGATCAGCACCTGGGCGGGCTCAGCCCCTAGGAGCACAGAGATGGGCGGGCAGGGTCTTTGGGTGCAAAAAGGAATGCCCCTTCCACCGGTGAACACTCCAGGCTCCGCAGCTCTGCGAGTGCAGGGCAGGGGCGTCTGGCCCCCACTCCCCTTCAGGAAGGAGCAGCTGCAGAATCCCGCAGAGCAGTGAGGGCAGAACCATTGACAGACAGGAGGGAGCCCATCTGGAGAGGAGGATGGCGTTAGCTTGTGCTGAGCTCTGACAGGGGACTCCCAAGTGAAATGTGTCTATTAGCCCCTTGGAGACTCAGCCGGAGAACCGGGTTGGAGGTCTGTAGACTCACCGAGGAGGGCGGGTGGAGCTTAGGGAATCAGTTGGATCTTGGGCTTTACGCTTTTCTCCCAAATCTCTCTCCCTTTTGTCTTGCAGGTCACCGTTCCCTTTACTAACGTGAGTGCTCGCTGTCATCCTTCCATCCTCCTGATGCCACATCCCCACCCTCCTGTTCCCTGCATGCAGCCAACCGTGGTCCCCATGTGCCCGGGAGCTGCGGGGTCCCCATCCACTGCCTGAGGCCAGGACAGCTTACCTGTGCCCCGTCCATGCAGCCCCCATCAGCCGGCCCAGTCTCTCCAGCCTGGCTGCGGCCTTCTGGAGCCTGAGGGTCTGAGGATTGGAGAGACACCTCTGAAAGGGGTGTGGATTTGAGCCAGAGAAGCAGTGGAACTCTTTCCAATTCACCAGAAGGCAGGTGCACTCGCCAGAGAGAGAGAGAGAGGGAGGGAGGAAGTGCACCTCACGGGGAATGTCACTCCACAATCCCTTCTCCCGTTCCTCTCCTTTTCAGGATTTGGGGCACATTCGCACACATGCCCAGCTCATACCTCCAGTGGCCATGTGGGATCCAGCCACCTCAACCCACCACGCCACTGGCTGGCCCAGGGGAACTTTGAGATTTGAACCTGTGCCTGCAGCCAGGGCCAAGGATCAGGGACACGGGAGCATGTGCCAGGAGGGCAGGGCTATGGAGTGTGTTCTGTTGGGACGAGCCAGGCTGGGAACCAGGCGTGAAACCACAGGTGATGGTGAGGGTCCCGTGAGGTCAGGCGGGGAGTGCTAGCCCTGAGCCTCGCAGCCCAGAGGAAACCCTCTGTTACTCTGTCTGGGCGCTCTTAGGGGAGGAAGGGAGGAAGGAGAGAGCAAAGGGGAGCCCAGGACTAAAGGAAAAAGACGCAGGAACCTTTGAAACTAGATGGTACCAGGAGTGGAATTAGCACTCCGCCTCCTCTCTCCCCGTTCCCACCCTGTACCACGGGCTCAGGCTGGCAGGGCCCAGGCCCTCTGCCCCTGCTGTCCCCAGACCCCCGAGCCCTGGGAGGACTCCCTGGCCGCTGCAGCTCAGCCCTCCCGTGCTCTTTGCAGAGTTTGATGGGGCATCGGGCGGATGACAGCGGGAACGGTCGTGATCACTGGCGGAATCCTAGCTACGGTGATCCTCCTCTGCATCATCGCCGTCCTATGCTACTGTAGGCTCCAGGTAAGTGCCCGGGCCTGTATCCAGAGGCCCCAGGCTGCCAGCACATGAGCAGGGTGGGCTGTGGAAACGGGACAACCAGGTTGGGCTCATCAGGGGCTAGGAGCTGGGGGCCGCCAACACCCCGAAACTGGGCCCCAAGCAGGCAAAGGTGGCAGCCGTCAAGTCAAGGCGGCTGTGAGAAGGGAGTGGTGCGTTCTGCAGATCCTGCATCTGAAGGGCGCCCAGAGAGCGGGTGGGGATGGGGGTGGTCATCGCGTGTGTCTCTGCCCCTCGGAGGTTCTCGGAGAGGTGGAAGGGTGCCATTCTGGGAGATGCTGAGAGCTGCTGCCAACAGTCCAGCCCGGTCCTGGGTATGGTGCCGAAGCCCCTTCCCCTGCCTCCTTCCCCTGCCTCCTTCCCATACCCATCCCCACTCCCACCCCCAACCATGGCCTGGAGCTAATACACAAAGACTCAGGGTGGGGTAGGGAAGGAAGTACCGGCCTTGCACAGCTTGGAAGATACACGTGGGGTCTTCCAACAGTTCATGGCAAATGCGTATTACAGACAAAGGACACATGGATTTCAAATTCTTTGCAGCAAAATGAACTTGGACTTTAGTTCCATTTTCCCGTGAACTTTGGGAAGTCCCCTCCTATGGTATGGCACACGGGTCTCTGACGTTTCTTTGTATTTATTCTTGGCACCAACAAAGTGCCAGACTCAGGGCCCCATGGAGCAGGGAGGTGGGGACATGGGGACGCAGTCAAAAGTGCCTGGGTCTTGGGGAAGTCACCCCCTCAACTTCCCTCTGCTCTCCCCCAGTATTACTGCTGC